CTTTAATTAAAACTTCTTTAATTGATTTGGTGATCAAAAGTCTTATTTTTTGGTGATCATTTCACTGCTAATAAATTTGGTGATCAAAAGTCACTTTTTTGGTGATCAAAACACATTTATTCCAAAGAAAAAGTATTCTTTTCCTCATGATAGATTATAACTGACAGGAAGAACACGAAGAAGAAAGAGCCTTTGTATTATTAATCAACTTTCAATCAAAAAAAGAAATAAACTTAAGCATTCCCAAGTGTATCATAGGTTGCTTGAATTTTATATTATTTTTAAGTTTGTCTAACAAAGATAAGACGGTCGAATGAACAACCATACTCAAAATATGATCTTCCATCACTAGATAAAAGTTTAAATTCAATGTGTATTATGTTAGAAACGCAGTATGTCCGCGAGTCTAAAGATCTTGATTTAACAATTGGTTTTCTATTGAAACCGGTATTAACTATGATGAAATTTACCGGTTTATACTATGCACATTTATCAGAAGCAGATAAATGAAAACAGAATCGATTACATTTTGTCTATTGTCTATTTATATGCTTTTTATTATGGTTCAACACATTAAAATTTATGTCCGTATTTGTATTAACTAATTTAACTTATAAAACTGAACAAAGTTTACCATCGTTGATGACGGAAATTTGTGCTCACTTATGGTTACTGCTTTGTTCTTGTACACAAACAACCTTCATTATTAGTTCATATCAGAGAAATAAATTTTATACAATTATGTTTGATTACAATTTTTGTAACGTTATTAAATGCCAGCCGAATATATCAAAACGCTTGAAATTTGGAATATATTCTTCAATTACATTATCTTTGATTTCTATTATATCTAATATCTTGGGATTGTTTCTTGCCTATTTTGGTCCATTCGAACGTATAAATGTATTTCAAATGCTCTTAGGACCATTTCATAAAGACTCGACGATAACACGAAATATACCTTAAATAGCTGGTCACTTATTATGTAAACAAAAAAATATATTTGTATAAAAAATATGTTGCAGTGCACGAACGCTCGAGTAAAATGCGCCTGTATGACGCGAGCGCTCGTTGAAATGCACTGAGCGCTCTCGTTAAAATGCGCTTGAGCGCGAAGGCGCTCATGTTTTCTCCCCTGGAGCGAAGAACGGGGGAAGAGTTATTGAACCTACCGTTGTTAATATATTCTTTTTCTGCAAAGGAGACACATCCAGTCTTTGATTGCTTCATCATAATGATTCAAATTAAACATCAACAACCATAGCATTTTCTTCTCATTAATATTTCTAACCTCTATGTTTTCTTTATTTAATATTTATAACCTACCCTTAGGCTCTGTCCCGTACGCAAGAAAGAAACAAAGAAAAAACGAAATATTTTCTAAGACAAGAGATTTGAGACAGATGCGAGAGAAGCAGAAGCGTTGTGCTACTTAGTGATGCTATATAGAGGGAACACCCGGTTACAACAACCTCAAAATGTCACGAACGCTCTTTTTTGGAGCAGTTACTTCACAGTATCTACTGTCAGGATCCAATGTTATTTGGTTCTCTTCGGAGGGTTTTATTAGTTTAAACTGTTGATAAACATCTTTAACCGTCATAAAAAGATTAATAAAATTGTATAACATTATTTTTTATTACTTCAGAAAGATTAGTTGATCTCGACGGTGCGATAGGTGCTAAATTTTCAAAACATTTGTACGCGAATTTTGGTATTGTTGAAGACGACGACAAAGGTAATTTACTTAATCGTAAACCAACCTTTTCTGAAGTCAGTTTTAGTCGACGTTTGGCTAGTCGAGCTCGATTTCGTTCACGAATTTTAGTCATTTTAATTGAAATTTCTCTTGTCTTTTGACGACTCTTTCGATGCTGACCAGCATCTTTTTCTCGAAATTTTTGTAATAATAATTTATTTTCTTTGCGTTTTAATTTAGCTGAAATTTAAGAAATCGTTTTGCTGATGATAAAGCTAATTTTAATAACGATCAGTATGAAAAAACGACTACGATGTAGTTAGAAAATGTGTTTTCGCATGTTTAATTCTGATTAATACTGATCGTGAAAAAGCGTTAGCGACGTGACTCACTTTGACTTAAGTTACTATTTAGTCTTCAAAAACTGAATAGGCAAAAAGGAAAATATGATATACTTACTCAGCACGTGATACTGTGATTAGAAAGTTTGGAGTTTGACTTATGATTACTTTAGAAGAAAAAACTATTAGAAAATCAGCTTTTTCCAGTGTTAGAAACTACGTAAACAAAAAACAAATATCATTTTCATAAACTAAGGATCGCAGGCTATAACTATACTGTACTTTCTTAACTCACGAGGGAAGTACCCCAACTGATAAATCGCTTTTTCAACGAAACCGGGAGGGCTATAGGTAGTCGACGATGCTGATCCCGACGATCACCATGAATGCTGCTGCTAGGCCTTCAACGATCGATTTTCT